CACCCTCCCCTCGGTGCTTTTATTTGGTGCGACCTCTCCCGGCAGGGTAAAACCGTCATCCAGGCGGAAATCGATGCCGCCGCGGAGCTGATAGACTTCTTCCGCTTCAACGCCAAGTACGCCCTGGAGCTGGAGAACAGCCAGCCCCTCAGCGTGGACGTCAGCACCAACAGCATGGTCTACCGGGGCCTGGAGGTGAGGAGAAGGGCTGGGGCCGTCCCCCTGCGGCTGGAGCTCCCTTTGCCCCGAGCTGTGGCGTCACGCCGTGGTGAGAGGAGGCACCGTGCTCCCACCGGTCCCTTTCGTCTCCCACCCGCAGGGTTTCGTGGCAAAAAACTTCACGGCGATCGGCGGCAACCTGGCAGGGGCTCCGGCGTTGATGGTGAGTGTCACAGTGGGGTTTGAGGAGAGCCAGCGGTGGAGAGGACAGTCCGGAGAAAAGCTGGGAGGGCAACCCGCTGTCTCCAAGGCCGTGGTTTGCCTGGTGTGGGATCCACAGGGAGTGAATTCGCTCCCCCTGGTTCTCTGGTGCCTCAATAGGACGCACTTGGGGTCCTGCTTCTGTGGGTCCCCTTGAATTCCATCAGGTGGCTTGCAATTAGCCGTCTTTAATTACAGGAAGGCATTCGAGTGGCTGGATTTTAGACCAGGTGTGATGGGGGAAGTGTTGGAAAAGGAAAAACTGCCCAAACCTGCTCTGCTGGGGTTTTTATTCTGAAGCGAGGTGTCTTTTCACTCCTAGGCTGGGTTTTTGATGGAGAGAAGGTCAGGGTGCTGCAGGAGGGAGGGGAGAGGAGAAAGACAGCGGGTTTTTGTGTTCCTGGGCAGGAATTGCTCTGTGAATGGGGCTTCAGGGTGCTGTTGTGACATGAAAGTGTCGTCAGTTTGTAATCGCTCAGATTCCTCTTGCATGACACTTTTTGGGTACAGTGGGTGTGTTAGGGCGAAGGTAGGAGAGAGCAGGTTGTGGCCCTGCTGTTTAGCGCTGAATTGGGAGACAGGAGATCCTGGCAGACGTGAAAGATAGTCCAAAAAGTCAAAGTATCGGTAAAGAGCATTTCTGTATGTGTCCCACCCTGACATGCCCATCAAGCACGGGGAGCACGTGCCTTTGCAGAATGGGTTTTGGGGAGAGACTGTGACAACCTGATGAATTTGGGCCAGGATTAATTGATTTATTGTTGCACTAGAAAAAAAAAAAACCACAAAATTGTCCTAAGCTTTTTACTAATGAAGCTCAGATTTCAGCCTGGCACCAAAGATGATCCCTCCAGCAGGGGTGTCCTGTGTTGGAGGTGGAAGAACACAAAATTGTCCTAAGCTTTTTACTAATGAGGCTCAGATTTCAGCCTGGCACCAAAGATGGTCCCTTCAGCAGGGGTGTCCTGTGTTGGAGGTGGAAGAGGCTGCGATAAGGGAGAACATCAAGCTTTTAATTTGGGGACGTCACGTTTTAAAGCCATATTCAAGGTGAAGCATTTGAACCCGTCACTTTTGTAGGGGAGGAGGAAGGAAGAAGGTGAAACGCAGAGCCGGGAAGGTTTTTGGGGGAGGGAGATGCCTTCCTACCACCCCAGGATTCTAGGAAAGTCCTTGGCTTTGGTGACAAACTCACCCCAGAGCGTTTGAACTTTGCTGGGACAGGGCAAGCCCGTGCTGGCAGGCCTGGGTGAACTGTTTTGGGCGTCCTGCAGTGCATCCACCTCTCTGTCCTTGAGTGTGACGATAAATTCCCACCGGGCTGTTGCAGCGCGATGCAATCCCCCTGCTCGCCCTGGACCTGGGACAGAAAGGAGCCCCTGGGCACCAGCGGGTGGCTTGAAAAGCTCCAGGTGGGACCTGGAGTTAAATTTGAGAGAAAATGGTGCTTAATACGTGAATATCAATTAGAGCCCCAGTGTTTTAGTCACCACTGAGTGCTCCCCAGGGGCTTAAACGTTGCTCTTGCCCAAATAGCTGGAGAGATCAGTGCGGTTAATGCCATGGCAGCGTCGGGAGCGGGATTTCCTCGGCGCCGGAGCAGTTGCCGCACCGCACCGGTGTCCAGGCGGCCGGGCGTACTGCTTCCCAGCGTGGCCCCAGTTGGATTTCCCAGCTGCTTGGAGACTTTTCCCAGAGCGTGGTTTAGTTTTCTCGCCGTTCGGAGTGGAAGGATTAGGGGGGGCCGGGAAGGAGCTTTGCCCGCACCACGAATCCCTGGAGAGCAGGTGCCTGGTTGAGGCAGAGTCCAAAAATCCCCTTCCTGCTCCCCCGGGGCTGTGACCCTGTTGCACGGTGACGTGCGGGGGGGGGCCCAAGCAGCGTGACAGTGACGCGGGCTCCTGGTTTCCAGCAAACCACCCTCATTCACCCTCATTTTCACCGAAGAACCCTCATTTTTACCAAAGAACCTTCGTTTTTGCCAAAGAACCTTCATGTTCATCAAAAAACGCTCATTTTTCACCAAAGAACCCTGATGTTCACCAAAGAACCTTCATTTTTCACCAAAGCCCCCCCATTTTCACCAATGCACCCTCATTTTCACCAATGCACCCTCATTTTCACCAAAGAACCTTCATTTTCACCAAAACGTTTTGTGGCTCCTCTTAGGGACGGCAAAACTCTGCGTGGCTGGCGAGGGAGGGTGTGAAAGGGCTGCAGAAACGCCTGAATCGCCCAAAGGTGCCGTTGCTCCCGTCCCGTCCGCTGTGGGCTGCGGGACAGGCTGTTGCCAGAGCGTTGAAGCATCACGTAGCCGTGTTCGGGCCGAAGCCTCTCCTCACGTCGCTGACTTTGTGCTCTCCCCCAGGGCAACGTGGTCCTGTGGAAGCCCAGCGACACTGCCCTGCTCTCCAGCTACGCCGTCTACAAGATCCTCCTCGAAGCCGGGCTCCCTCCGAACGTCGTGCAGTTCGTGCCGGCGGATGGGCCCGTGTTTGGAGACGCCGTCACGAGCTCCGAGCACTTCTGCGGGCTCAATTTCACCGGCAGCGTGCCGTACGTTGCGGCAGCGGGGAGAGGGGCGAGGAGCCGCTGGCTGAGAGGGTGCTGGGTGCCCGTCTGCCGGTCCTGTGAACACGTAGGACGACGTTGAGGGGGTAGCAGGCAGGCAACTGGCCATCCTTACACGATGTAATTAAAGTAGGGGTTTAAAACTGCTTTAAAAAGTGGCCAACCAGGTTTTCTTGCTACAGGGAGTGCATTTAATAGCAGGGAGTTTCTGTTGCTAAACCCAAGGCGTGGAGCACAGCTCAAGTGCCGGGTGACAGCGCCCTGTCTCCCAGGGGTTCTGCGGTTCGGCGGAACGAGCCGCACCGCGCCGGCAGAGCGACGCCAGCGCCACGTCGATTTGCCAACCTGCGCTCTGCCCGCGCAGAGTCGGGGTGCGCTGGGGACGCCGAGGGCCCCGGCAGCCCGTAACGGGCTGTTAAACCCGGGCTCCCCGCTCCGCCGGGGGAGGAGGAGGGCTGCTGAGCACCGTGCTTTAAAGGTGGGAAGCTCATAAATCAGCGTGAGTGGCTGTGCCTCCTGGTGGGAGGTTATTAGCATTTTTATTGTTTTGCAGCCAAGGTTTGTCACAGTAAGGACTGAAGGGAAGGGGGGGGTGGAAATGAGGGAACTGGAGAACAGAAACTTCTGCGGGATGCTCGCTCCTGTGGCCTTCCCTGTGACACTGCAACAGTTTCTTAGTTTTCAAGCTACGGGGTTGTCGCGTAGTGCCGTTGCTTTGAGCCCTCAGGTCTCATTCTCAGCATCTCCTCGTCCACTTGAGTGTGTCGCTTCTTTTGGGGATGGATGCCAGGGTTTGCTGGGGTCCCCCTCAGCAGGGCACACCACCCACGCGTGCCTTTTCCAAGTGCCACCCCTGTGCAAAGGCAAGAGTGCACTAACCAGCTCCTCCGCTCTCTTCCAGGACTTTCAAGCGGCTCTGGAAGCAGGTATCCGAAAACCTGGATCGCTACCGCAACTTCCCACGCCTGGCTGGAGGTAACTGCCCCTTCTTACACCTTTATTTTT